GGGGGGCAGAGAGTTTCTTCCACAGAAGATGTGCGTTGCAATTGCATTAATAAAATCTGGTGTCGGAACAAGCAGACAGGGGCGCAAGCCGGCCTCCAGGAGCAACTGGGCAAAGTGGGACGAGAGAGATGACAGCTTCAGGGACCAAAGATGGGGAAGCCATGGCCCCCGCTTACTGCTCACCTGAGTGATGCACCCATGGGAAGCAGCACACTCCCTGGCATGCACCCCTCCCCAACACTCAGCGAGGAAGGGACTGCGGCTATCCCAAGGTCCTGACTCAACACAGGCCCAGGGAAAAGCTCGCAGGCCAGCGGGCCACGCCAGCGCATCCCCCTGACCTGGCATGCACAAGAGCATTACTGCCACAAACAGCAGCCCCACTGGCACACACAGAACTCTTTTCATTCCTTAAGGGGCCCCTGAGCCAAGTCCGGCCACGGGGACAGGAGGGCGGGCAGGCTGTTCCCACACAGTCTCTGGGTCCCCAAGCTCTGGACATGTGCCAGGCCCTGAGGATGCTTCTAGGTCCTGGAAAGGACAAAGGGGACATCTCGGGCCACAGAGAGCCAACTAAGGGCACTGCCCAAGGGACTTCATCCAGGAGCCACTGCCCACTGCCCAGTGCTGGACTCGGCACTGCCCTGTGCCTTCTTCTTGTCCTCACAACCGCGAGGCTTTCAGGGCAGGACCCTGGATCTGTCCCCACTCCCAAAGTGGGGCACAGAGTTGTAGAGGTCCCCATCGGTGCAGACGCCAGGACAGGATTAGCTGGTAAAAGGCAGAGCCGCTGCTCTGAACCGCAGGCTGAAGTTAACGCCTCCTCTGCCACACCTGCATGTGGTTAATGCGGCTTTTCCTATGAAACTAACCCCAGGCAGCAGGGGCAGTGACGGGAGGCCCCTGCCCGCTAAGAGTGCCAGGAAGACCTGGAGGTGCCTGGGGTAACGGCTACACAGCGACATCATTGTGCTTAATGCCACTGAGCTGTCAACTTTAAAAGGGCTAGGAGAGCCGGGCGTAGTAGCGCACGCCTGCAATCCCAGCACTTGGGAGGCTGAGGCAGGAGGATCATTGTGAGTTCAAGGCCAGCCTGAACTGCATAGTGAGACCCAGTCTCAAAAAAGACCAAAGAAATAAATAAACAAATATTTTTTTTTAAAAGGGCTAGCAGAGTAGCCATTATTAAGTATACACATTTAACATAAAATGGTTTAAGAACAGATCCAGTACTGGATCAATTAAGAAATTGTAATGAATTTTTAAAATAGATATCATACATCTCACCAGGTAAAATTCAGTGAAAAGGCACTAAGAAATAGAAATCTTAAAAAAAAAAAAAAAACAGAAATCTCCTGGGGGTGAGGTGGGCTCTCTGGATCCAAATCCCTGTCCTGAACTTCCTAGCTGTGTGATTCCTCTGTGCTTCTCTGCTAAAGATGAGAGGCAAGTATACCTTTCTCAAAGACAGAACCAGCTCAATCAGATCAGACAGCGCAGACCATAGGACACCAATCCGCTTCAGCAAAGGGCTGGGAAGGAAGTGCTTCTGGCCCTCCAGGGTCTGCCATGGTGGCTTCATTCTGCTGACACAGTGCTGAAGAGACCACAGCCATCGCTACATGAATGGGTGTGGCTGTTCCAATAAAACTTTATTTATAAAAAACAAGGGATAAGTAGTAGAGCTTGCCAGCCCCTGGCATGGACACGGTCACTCGGTTACATGCTTTGCAAACTGTTATAACTATGAATGACAACATGCCTGTTTCTAAAAACAAATGCTAACACCCAAGACAAGTGCAGGGCCTGTCCGCTGTGAGCTCCCTCTGCACCAGTGTGCACGGCCCTCCGCCAACCCTTGCCAGTACCTTGTAGCCCTGCCTCCCACAGACCCGTGTCCCTGTGCCGTACGCCTCGCTGTGGGAAGCCAGCAGCACAGAAAGCCCGCTTTGAGGGCCTCCAGGGCCCCAACCAGGACATGGCAGGCCCTCTAATAACCAGGTGGGGACCCAACAGCACCAGGACCACCACAGCGGCCATTGCTGGGCTCAGCATGCTTGTGGAGCAACCCATGCTGGGACCTCTCTGCCCTGGGGCTGCCTCTCCGCAGGTGCCCACATGTTCCTTACCTAAGGGGAGCCGCGCAGCTAAAATGGGAGAACGCAGCAGGAGTGGGAGGTGAAGTGATCACAGCTACTCTTATATAACCCTCACGCCCACCCTCCAGGAGACGGCACAGAGCAGAGAGGCTGAGCCACTTGCCCAAGGTCTCAGAGCCAGCAGGGTCTGGGCTAGGCCACAGCGCAGCCTCTCGGTCCCGGCCCGCGATGCCCCTTCTGGTCACTAGCTCCACTGGTAGCTACAGAAAGACAAAAGAGAGCCCCTAATATGGGCATCTGCTGTGACAATGCCAGAGAAGTCATCTTTGTCATAGCTCACACACACACTTCCTGCTCATCAGGACCGTGTATTAAGTCCAGCCCATGCCCAGGGACCACACCCCTGATCCCCACACCAACCCAGCCAGAGCCACTGTCCCCATCTGTACAGGAAGTGAAGGCTCAGGGAGGTCAAGTCCCTTGCCCAAGACCACACGGCAATAAACCATAAAATACGGGTGAGTCCAACTTCAGAAGCCCTGCAGGTTGATCCCATCCCAGTGGGAAAGGAGCACTGGGGCCCACTGGAGTAACCCCCAGTCTCTCCCAGGGAGGACCCCATTTGGTTGAAAAGTCCAGGTGGAAGGCAGGGTTGAAAGAGGACCCCCAGAGCCTGCAGAAAGACGTGGGACAACCACGTCTGTATAGCTGGCCACCGCTGCTGGCTTGTGCCTTAGGGACTGTCCCTCCTGTCCCTCCTCCCCAGCCTTAAGCCCACAACCAGCGAGGCAGCCCCACCCTCCCCTCCCAATGAAGCCTTCCTGCTCCCCCGCATCCGCGCAGGTGTCCGTCTTACAGGGCAAGCAGCGTCCTGTGGCCTGACTCCCCTGCCCAGGAAGGCACAGCTCCCACCACAGAGAGCCGAGGCCCTGACCGCCCCAGGTCCCCGGTCTGCAGCAGGCGAGCTCAGCTAAGGGAAGACTACATCAGGGCATGCGTACGTGCGGTGCACAGATGACAGAACACGCACCGTGGTGGCCAGAGGAAGCCACAGGGACAGCAACGTCAGCGCTGGGCCCTACAGTATGAATAGGAATTGTCCAGGTAGACCAGGAAGGGAGATTTTTTTTTTTTGGAGGAAAAAAAAACCAGCACATGGAAAAGCCTGCGTGAAGACAGGTCTGGAACACGCAAGTGGCACAGTGGCTGACACAGGGTCCAGAGAAGGGGACAGGTGGCCTGGGGAAGCCAGGATGTGAGGAACTTGTGAGATAGGGCCAGCGAGAGCCATGGATGGTTTGAAAAGGAGCAGAACAGCAACTGCTCACTGAGAAGGCTCCAGCGTTACCCACACTCAAGCCTGGAGCAGACCTGGCGAAACAGGAGTTTCCAAACAACGCTTTGCGATAGCCCGCGTGCCTCCACGGTGCGGCACCCTCAGAGTTTTCTCCACCGCCAAGGTCTCCAGGGAGTTGACAGTGCCCTGCTAAACAAGGAACTTCGGGGGAGGCGCGGTCCTCACCACTGCACCCAGCTCTAAACCCGCGCCTCCCCTAGGGACCGCCTCACCCCAGGCCCGGGGCTGGAGACAGGGGCAGCTTCTCCACAGCCTTGCCCCCAGCGGGCGGGTCACCCGCGTGGGATGACTTTCACTGCGCGGGTGGTTCCCTGGGTGGATGTCACTGCTTCCGCCGTCCCCCACCTCCCCTTCTGGTCTGCGTGGCAGCACAGGCATTTGATGGGGGACAGCAGAGTGACCGGCCGCCACGGGGAAACTCAGGCGGGACCAGGGGCTCCCCTGACCTTGGCTGCCAGGAGCTGAAGAAAGGGCGTTCCCAGAGAGGAAACAGCGCGACCAAAGGCCAAGGTCAGTGTGGCGGGAGTGGCGCAGGAGAGGCGGTGGCAGAGGAGGCTGGAGGTTAGTTACAGTGTAGCCAAGCTTAAAGGGCAGGGCAGAGGCTGGCGGGGAGCCGAGGGAGGCCAGGCCTCGGGAGAGAGCACTGCTAAGGTGTGTGGGATCGGGGCTTTTAAGGTCAAAGGCGCCAGCCTGGCAAACGGCCTCGATGGGAATAGGGCCTATCCTCGGCAGCCCGATCCACAGAGGGGAGGATGGGGCGTGGGGCCGGTGATCGAGAACGCAGGGCGCCCGCAAGGTGCCCGCACCGCAGGGCCGATCCTCGCGTCGCTGCGCCCAGGGCGCGCCGGCCGGCGGCAGGGTGGGCTCCAGCCTTTCTTCCATCTCGCCAGCCTCCTCCCCTGCGCCCACGTGAGCCGAGCGGCGCGAGGCTGTGCGTGGCCGGGCCGCGGTGGCGTGCGGTGTGCGTGGGGCGGAGTGGGGTGCGGCCAGGGCGGACGCCCCCTCCCGGCCCCCAGCCGCCTCGGAGTGGCCCTGGGCTCCGGCTCCATCCTGGGTGCCACCTCGGCAGGGGTCCAGGGGACAACGGGGAGCCCGGCCGGCCACGCCCCCCGCACCACTCCTGGAGGCGACGGGTGGGTCCCCCGCCCCCAGCTGGGCTCGGGGGCGGAATGGGGAGAGGAGTGGAAGCGGGGTGGCGTGAGGGACAGGGGGGCGGGACGCGGAAGGCGCTGAGGGAGGCGACGCGGCAGCTAGGAGGTGACGCAGGGGTTATCTAGGCGAAAGGAGGATGGGGAGAACAAGATGGGGGCCGCGGGGTGGGGTGTGCGCGTGCGGGG